TGCATATGTATTTATTTATTTACACAAATCGCATAACAATTGAAAGCCACTTGCAGGAGCAGCTTTGTTTGCGTAGCTGCGTCTCAAAGAAACAAAAAAAAACGAGCTGCTTCAACTGACTGCAGACTTAAAGAGGAAGCGCATGTCTTCAAGCAGCACTTGTTCGTCTACGAGTGTATCGTAATATCTGATAGTATCTGTTACCGTTTAGCGTATGCGCATATCTTCAAATTTGACGAGGGCTGCTTGAAGCGTACGCATGTGCATCCAGGAAAGTGGGAAGAGGTCGAAATACTTTGTTGGAAAACTGCTAGCTAATGTATGTAGCTGCTTAAGGTTTAATGGGATTGTGTCTATGAAAGTGGAATATTGCTGAAAAGTAGAGCTCGATTACATCATCATCAGAATCAAATACTTTGCTAAGAAATAACTTAACTAGAATATAGATACAATAATCTTGACTAGAAGAGTTCGAGCAGTTTGTATCTATAAGACAGAATATAGATAAAATACTTCAGTGGAAAAGTGCTCAAATAGGCTTATGTTGAAGGAGTGGGAAGGAAGGAGTAGTGTTTGTATCTATGAGTGTACGTAATTAATACGCAATATATAATTTATATAATATAATCTGTGATATCTTAATATAATATATCCAAAATTATATTCAGTCAACTCATTTCATTTTATAATATTCTTGCTCACGAGCGGCTAATGATAGTTGTTTTTGCTATATAATTTCACGATTAAACTAATTAGAGAATGTTCTAATAATTTTAGAAAATTATAGATATTTCTTTGGTAATTATATTTATATATATCTATATATGAATAATAGAAAATAGTAAATGAGTCAACTCATTTCATCTTTCTAATATTTCTTAGTAAAAATGTTATTGATCTTAAGAAATAAGCATAGATTTTATGCCTACAATTTCTACTATACTATTCGAATTACAACGTAGAGTACTACTCTTGCTTCTAGAAAAGCCTATTGATTTTTCTAATATATTTTTCTAATACCACGTTTTCACAAAACTTCCCGATTTCACAAAAGATTTCACAACACTTAAATAGAAGCAATTGCAGTTGCTCTCAGGGCTATAACCTCTACATGCAGCCACAACTTGAGCTACCTGGGCATGCATATACACACATATATACGTATATTCATCTGCATTGTATATGTATGTAAATATTTCTGCATCTCAAGCAGGTAACTCAAATATGTGCCAACAAATAACGAACGTAGCTGAACACTTAATAACTTTTTAAAAGGTTTGCAATATGTTGTTTAAATATTATTTGGTTCGTCTTGTTATATATGTGCATATGTATTTATATAAGTATATATTGTTGAGGATTGCTTGTCCGTGGGTTATTGGTTCATATTAATATCGTTCACGTTTGTTGACTGACGCAATCTTTTGAACGCAGCGGAGAGGTGTCTTTCAAGTAATTGCCGCGCGACCTTCTCCGATGACAATGGTTTTCTATCCCTCTCGTAACCCCGCTGAAACAAAAAAATATATGTATATATAAATAATATCAACAAATGAATAAATCTGCCCCCAACAATGTGAAACTGCGACGCATGCAAAAGTTGAATGTCAGTCAAAAAAGAAGAGAAGGAAAAAACGATGCCTTAGGAATATGGAAAAAAGTGAGAGAACGAACAGTTTGATGATCATCATGAGCACATTTTCTAGCCTTTCTAAATAAACATCAATTGTTTATAATATAAATACTATTGTTGTGTGTATGTGTGTGTGTGTGTGTCTGTGTCTGCCTTTCTGTTTATAGTTTTATAGTTGGGACGTTGACGTTGGCGTCGCTGCTGAATTGCATTATTTTTGGCGAGGGTCACTTTTGAGTTGATCTTCTAGCTGTGCTGCTCCGTTTTTTCGTAGACCCCAGCGAAATTTGAGCTACGACGCGACGCGCGACTCGTGTAGACAGCAAACAGAAAAATGGTAAAAAAAAAAGCAATTCCTATTAATTTGCGAATATTTTGTTGCTGCTTTTTAGCACATGTGGCTGGCAATTTCCATTCGCCTCTGCTCCATATACATAACTTACATTTCGACTTTGATACCGCTCTGCAGTTTACAGTGTTTTAGATTTCATGCTACAGTTAGAGCCACGCGTCGATAAGATTATGTGGGTGTAGTTGGGTTTGTTTTAATGATTTATATTTTTGCTTTAGATAAGCATTTGGCACGGGATAATCAGTTCTCGTGAAGTCATAAAACGCAGGTCGCGCTTATTTGTGAAGTACCTGTTGTGCTGAGGATATTTACGACTATCGGTCTGGCTGTCTGTCTGTCCCTGGACTGTTGTCTACCTGTCAAAATGGCAAATATTATTTGTTATTTAAATGAAACGCTGTCATTGCTGACGCTAGTTGTTCCTCGTGGTATATTCGCTTGTCCAAATTACCTACGTCAACAACCCCTTGAGTTTACATTTAGTCAATGTATTATACTTGTTCCACGCGGCGTATACGTATTACCAAGTATTGGTATTGCCTGTGTGCCTATGGGTTTTTTAATATTTGTTGTTTTTGTTGCCTTGTGGTTTGACCGTTAAATGAACGATCGCTCTCTCTTTCTCTCTCTCCGTCTCCCATTCTCTTGCTTCTTATCGTGCTCTCATTCGCGCTGCTCTCTCTGGAAGAAACCGCAGTTGTTTTGTTTTGCTGTTTATCATCATCTTCGCCTGTTGCCAACTACATAAATACACACTTATAGTGCCAATTTGGCCAGCATCTGCTGACTTGGTTTTATGTATTTAGGTTTGTCTTGTTTCGTTTGGGCATTAACTTTGATTTACCCTATACCACGCTGTTCTGCGCTTCGCAGATTTTATATGCTCTCTGTATCTGTCTCTCTGCCGCTCTCGCTCTCTCCGTTTGGTGCGCATTTTTAAATTTCAGGCTGACAAGTTCGTTAGCTTTGCTTTGTCATGCCACTCATACACTTATGAGCATACACTCGCTCTCTCGCATTCACACTCGCGCACTCAGCAACAGCTCGCCTGCAATATCAGTGCGCTCACTTACAGTCGACTGTTGCTGTTGCTGCTATTGCTGCTATCGCTCTCTCGCTCGCACACATCCGCTCAGTTTGCTATAAAAGGCCGTCGCACTCAGCGACTTCATTTCAGTTATTTTTGTGTTGTCGTGCACGCCACTTGGTCTTTAGGCTTTTGTTGAACTAACATAGCAAGTTTAAATCAAAGAGAAATAAAACATATTTCAAATACAAAGCCCAACTATAAAAGTGTGCTGCAGCTACTGTCACAATATTTTATTGATATTTAAATCAAAGCTAATTTTGTGCGAAATTCGTGTGTTTAACTGTTGCGAAGCGCGTGTGAAAAGTTAAACAAAAAAAAACTTTAATTGCAATTTTTTATGAAAAGCAATTCCATTGTTGTCGCTTACGCAAGGCCAACTGAAACAACAATACAACTGACAATAACAGTTCAAAGCCCAATTTGGATTATTAATAGCGCCTAATTAATATTTTGCGCCGTTAGCAATCAGATATTCTGTAAAAGCAGAAATAGCAGCAACAACAAAAGCAACAAATTGTAAGTATTTCCGTGCCCAAAATAAACTCAACAGCTCAGACTCTCACACACACATACATAGAAAACTTGCATTCTGTGCTACATGTGCATGTATGTGTGTGTGTGTGTGTGCCCTTCTATAAATAAATCACATCAAATTTAATTAAATGCAACTAGTTGTGAGTTGTTGCAGGCAACCGCATTGCATGCCAAGTCTAAATATAAACAAACATATATATACATACATATATATAGTGACTGTATGCATAAAGTAAATTGAAGTTTACATTTTACAGTTGTTCGCAAAACTTCATTGCATATGCAGCTATATATATATATGTATATGATTGCATTCGCTTAACATAACATTAACATTCACATTAGCATAACATTTACATTTGCCAACTTGTTGCAGTCCTGCTTCGACACGTACCGTTAATTTGATTACAGTTTATGCGCGCAGCTTTGCTGTAGCTCTCATATGATCAGCTAAATATAGCAACAACATAAACAAAAAACCCAAACAAAAATAAAATGAGAATATTTATTTTTTTTTATGACCAGATAGCCAGCCAGACAGCCAGCCAAGTCATGTGCTGTCGCTGTGTGTCAAAAATAAAAATTTTGCAATGCTGCCAAAATCAGCAAGATTTGCACCGTGCACCTCCCTCGTAAAGCCCCTCAAATGGCAGACACGATGCTCGTGCCGACATTAAATGCGCTATAAATACAACACTGCATTATATATACAGGCATACAAACAAATCTATAGATACCTATATATATATATATATATATACATATATATATATATACGTCTCAGTTTATATGGCCTGTCACAGCAATTTAGCTGGAAACGTAAAAGTTTCAGTTTGGCACAAATTAAGACTTTATTTTAATTGTCTCAGCCGAAGTTAAATTAATGTTTACAGTGTATAAGTATAACAATAATTTGATATGACGCATCAGCAATATCCAATCCAAGTTGTAATTTGTTGTGCATGGCCTTAGCGCTCAACCGGATTTTATCGTCTTTTAGCTCTGTTTATTGCAGAATGTCATTAAATGTATATATAAATTGGCCATCAAGCTGGAAAATGTGCTAAGAGCAAGTGGATGTAGGTACAGTTGTGCCTGGCTTGTATCAATGCAATATATGTATATATATATATATATACATTTTTGACATTTAAGTGTTTTATAATACCCACACACACACTCATTTGATCATTAACTTCATACAACACTAACAACAGCTGCACAACTAGCTCGTTTACCTTCGTGCGTTTGTTTACCTGTATTTTTGTCGTACTCGTTTTGCCCCTGACATATGCCATCAAAGGGGGGAAATTCCCCCCGCGAACTGAACTCTTATATTTATCTGTGCTTATTTTTTAATGTTTTTCCTCATTTCTCGTTTTTCATTGCAGTACCAGCAGCAACTATGTCGAGTGCCAGCGTACATGCTCCCCAAATTGCCGACATTTGCAGTCCTCTCTCGTAAGTAAAAGTTATGAAGATATATGGTCAAAAGATATGTAAAAAGATTAGCTGGAGGTACAGTGATACACACACACGTACAAATGTATCTATCTATGGCCAGATTGCTCATACGCCTTGTGATTCACAGCTGAATTTAGCTTGAAGCGCCATTTCCGTTTTTATTGAATGACAACCAAATAGCGCGCGCTGTCCCCCGCGCCCCTCCTTCGCCACGCTTTGATCGTTTCAATGTGCGAAATTTTTGTGAGCTTTATAAACAAAGCCAGGGCCAGTTAGTGGGAATTGTGACTCCGACTTCGACTGTGACTGTTTAGCAGTGACTGTTAACAGTCGCTGTCAAATGATTGCTAATGCCGTCTGGCCCATTCATAATTTTGCAATCTAATCGCAAAACTGTGGGTGCAGAGTACAACAGCATTAACTAAATGCCGCATAGCTGCATTAGCTTATAGTCTGATATATTATCAAAAGCTCTCCCGTTCGTCTGCTCTCTCCTCTTCCACTCTCTGTACCGCTCTCTCTCTCTCTGTTTATCTTGTGCTCTCTTGCGCTAACAATAAACGCTGGCGACAATGCGGCGCTCACATGATCGGGCGAAAGCTGCCGTCTGTCATTGTTTTTGTTTTTGTTGTTGCTGTTGTCTGACGTTGGTACAGTCCCGAAACGCTAGCGTCGCCGTCGCCGTCGCCGTCTCGCCATCACGCAGCTCATTATCATAATCACGCCAACAGCAGCGACGCACGCCGTTCCCCAATGTCCGCCCACCAGGCAAGGTCATGGCCTGGTACGCCTGCTTGCCTTTCGCTACTGCAGGTGCGCTTCGAGGTTGACATGAGGCCCAAGATACCATGAAGTAGCAACAAGGAAATCAAATATATCATACAGTAGTATAGCTGAATAAATAATTATTCAAATATCGTCTAGCTTCAAATTATACAACTTGTTATCAGCTCGTCATCTACAGCTAATGTGCTCCTGTCTAACTGCCAACTGTAGCTAATCTGTTTACTCTGTTATCTTTTGCAGTCATCACAGCTTGGGTCTGTCTGCCTCGCTGCCCGATTTGGTGGGCAGTCCACTGGAGATCAACATGGACAGCGTGCTGACCATTGAGGAGCTGCGCCAACATTTGGGCTCGTGCTTTACATGCGGCGTCTCTTGGACCGATGATCATGTCTCGCTCGATTGCAGCGAATGCGGTGGCTACAGCCTGGAGCGTCCCTGCCCTCTGTGTGATGGCCAGTGCGGTGTGCAATGGAAACGTGACTTCGCCATGGTGAGTTGCTTGAAACCATCAGCCTCACTAAGAGTTCCATGACTAAATTCTCGATTTTTTGCTTACAGTCGCATGCATGCAGCAAAGCGCGTTGGGTTGGCGTCTGTCTGAGTTTTCCGGAAGCAATGGCTGCCGCTGTGCAACAGCTGCCCGTGGCTAGCAATGTGGCTGCAACAACCGCCACATCATGTGCCGCTGCCGCAGCGAATCAGCTGCGTCTCGCCCAGGAGCTGTGCTCGCGTCTGGAGCAGCTGTCGACGGCATCGTCATCAGCGCCCAATAAAATGACGCGTCTATGAAGCGTTCGCAGTGGGCGTAATACAGTACAGTGTTCCTTTTCAAAAAGTGTTGGCGCCACCTAAAACACAAGCACAAGCATCGTCAGCCATTAGCCATCAGCCACATGCCACATGCCACACCACAACATGAGCCAACAAAACAAACAAACATAAAGTCCACACCACATTTATTATTTTATTGCTGCATTGGAGAGAGTCGTCGTCGTCGTGGAGGAGTTGCGTTGCGTGGAGAATCTCTCTCTCCCTCTCTCACTTCATATTTAAATTAAGTGCTTAAATTAACTAAGCTTTTTTATTAGCTCTTAGTGTTTTCTTTTTTTTATTGAATTCTTCTTCTACTGAAAATATTTTGATTGATGTGCACGCGTTGAGTTTTAGCGAGAATTAATGTAGATTGTGTTGAATTAGCGTTAAGCAGTTAATTAATTATTTGTTTACACTGTAATTATGGCCACACACACACATACACACTACACTTATCTTAAAGAAGAAGAGACTACATTTAGCTTGAACTTAAGTCCAGTTTAAGCGCCTTGCTGCGCAGTGATAAAGGTGATATTAGCCAGAGAAAATGTTAAATGCAAAATATTCGTAAACAAATAGTGAATTTAATAATTGTAGTCAAATGGAGAGTCCAACGATCTAAAATAATTGTTAACATTTTTTAGTTTTTATTGTTGCTTTAACAAATTGCCAAATTTTACGCACAAATCAAAGAAGAATTTAAAAATTTATAAACAAATCGTTGGAAATATTGCAATACAGCAAAAAGAAAAAAAAAAAACAAACAAACAAATTGAACAAGAATCTTCCATAAGCCTAATGCTCAACACACAGACTCACATACACACAGAGAGAACAGCAATGCACAAAACAACACAAAGAAGAATAATATGCTAAAACGTGAAGAGAAGAGAAGAGAAGAAAAAAGAAAAACAATTGGGAAAGTAAGCATTACTCAAAAGAAAGTTGAAGATTTTCTGTGAAAATCCATATGACATATAATAATATATATACCTAGAAGTTTATACCTTATATATACAACCTATACATTTACATATATATATATATATCTACTATAGCTACATAAAGTATATACACATATATATTATATATTTTTAATGTAGAGATATGTTTTGTAAAAAGACAAAAGCATATTTTTAAAATTCAAAAATATATTCAAAAAATGCAAAAATCAATTGAAAAATGTTATAAATTACTATACTAAAAGGGGGCGTGTTCTATATAAGCTATAAGTACACACGAATTGCAGTGGAAGGCAGAGATTAACACACGCCTGGCCTTATCAACACATCTGATAATGTTACTATGGGGCTGGCACCCTTTGAAGGTTAAATTGAACAATTTCATCATCGTAACTTTAGTGAACGGCTTTAGACATCTAATCATTCCAATATATATATATATATATATATATATATATATATAAATTTGTTTTTTGTAGTACTATTTGGTTACTGCTCATAAATCTCGAAGCTGCCCTTTATGCAGCTCTGCCGTTATTATAACGGCACTTAACATGCACATATATTTCATTAACTGCCTTGTGCCACATTCACTTCCTTGTCGCTGGCTACAGGTTTGTCAACTGTAAATTAAACACACTCACACACACTAGCACACACACACACACTAACAGTGAACGCTGAAAGTTTACACCACTTTGTGCAGCCTTTTTACAGTTTCATTTTTAGTATACACATAAATCTGAAATGCTGTATGGGCAGCTAATTTAGCGGAAAATGCCAAAGTGTGCAAAACAAAAAAAAATAATCAAATCAAATCAAATTTATGGGAATAATTATATTTCGTTAAATGCATGAAAAAAATATAATTACTGGCAATTGATGAGCAGTGAATGTGAATAGCAATAAAAAATTAGTAAACAAAAAAAATGCTTTTTTCTAACATCAAAATAAGTTTAGTTTTATAAAAAAAAAAAAAAAAACAAAAAAGATTATTATACACAATTCCATAATTATTCTTTACCTAAGTCATTTGCCAAATGTTGGCTTATATAAAAATAAAACATTTTTATTATTATTCTGGGAGCAATATTGAAAAATTTATAAGACGAGTTTTTTACAGGGTATAAAACTATTTTTTGGATTTCGATTTGGCTCACTTTAAGTTAATTTAGGTATTCTTATTAGTTAATCTATTAAACAATATTTCGTATATATTGTGTATTTTTGTTCATATATTTAAATTTTTCATTATATAGGTTGCTTGTAAAAAACCCCCAACAAAATGAAAAAATTCCGTTCTGTACAGATAATCTATTTACTATGACATATGGCATACATATATTATTCAAAGCTGAGGGAATTTTTCGTAAGTCGCAAGGTTTTTTGATTTATTTAAATCACCTATAACAATACAGAGTGCATGGAAATAAATATAATTTTTATTAATATTATTATTGGCATATTATTTTTTTGACAACCTTTTTATATTTGCTCAATAAATCCAAGTTGTATTCATATTAATATTAACTCTTCAGCTCTGCTCCTATATCATGCTAGTAAATGGTTTATACGTAAAGCCCATTCATTAAGCTGTTCGCCCATTGAGCACTATCAGCTGGAATTTTTCGCTTTATTTGAAATTTCCTGTATTGAGTGTTAGATAAGTTAAGACTAAGCTAAACTAATTTATAGTATGGATTTAGTTTTGAAGCGGTCTCATGACAGGCGCCACATGTAACTGGAAATCAACAGACTTTGGGTAATTCCTGAACGTGTCTAGGGTATTGGGCAGTCATATACCAGGCACAACTTTCACTTACCTGTTTATCGTATTTTGTTTCAAAACGAATTCACCTGGGATGACTTAAGGCAACAGCAGAGGCAGAGGCTGCGACTGCGAGTGCGGCAGCTGCGGCGTCGCTGCTGCTTATACCAAGCGGGCGGCGAATTGAGGAAGGCCAGGTTCACATCAGCTGCTGCTGCGGCTGTGGAGAGGGTTAAGCTGGTTATAGAGCCGTATTCAGTTCAGTTCACACTGCATTTACTCACAGCTGTAAGGCAGCTGCTCGTACAGGTCCGCCTCGTTGGCTGTCTCGGGACTGGGCAGATGCGTTTGCAGCTCGTCGAGCAGTTCGTTCAACTCCTGAGCATCCTTGGCGATGCTGCACAGCTCCTCCTGCTGAAAGTCCGGATTGATTTGCTTGCACAGCAATATCTGACTGATGACGTTGCCCAGATTCGAGGGTGCCGTGCGAGCGGGTGCTGAAATGGGAATTGAGTTCTTGATCTCTAAGCGGAGACTGCAGTTTACCATAGTAGTCCGTCATGTCATACGGCACCAGCTGTATGAGCCGATGGCTCTTGAGCAGCTCGTGGCGAAACTGCAGCGTCAGCTGGTAGAGCAGCGACAGATTCAAGTGCTCGCTGGCACTGCCCAGACAATGCTTGGGCTGTGGCGTGATCAGGTGAGCCGTGTGCTTGCACGCATCCACGCAGCTGCGTCGCAAGCGACGAATTTTCTCCCGCAATTCCGGTGAATCGCGCGATTGGCCTATAAAGATGAGCAGCTCGCGAAATTGTGCCACATAACAATTGATTTCCATGATGAGCTGAGAGAATGGAGAGCGAGAGGTGCAGTTGGCCGATGCATTTGCATGTCGTTTAATTGCATAAGTTTTACCTTTTGCGGATCGCGCGTGGGCAGCAGCAGCTGTGGCAAGTAGATGGACAGGCGATGCGCTATGATGGTCGAGTTCCGTATAGCCAGGGCTGTGCTGCTGGTCACGCCGCCTATGGCGGGCAGCTTGTCGTCGTAGTCCAAGCCACCAACGTTGGCCATGCTTGGATGCTGACTGCGGCAGCTCTGCGGCTCTGGCCAGGCATTTCTGCGCCGCTCAAAAGTATGCTATAAAAAGTACAAGAGCATGTGCACACTGTGCAGCTGTATGTGTATGTGTGTGTGTTTGTGTTTGTGTGTGTTTGTGCTGCTGTCTTATGCAAGCAAATTGCGGGCTGTCTCATTACCTTGTGTCAACAAGTCACGGCTGCTAAACAACAACAAAAAACAAGAAACAGGTAGGAATATGCCTAATGCTCGACTAGACAGATACCCCGTAAGCGCTCAACTGAGCTTTGCCTGAAGATCAGCTGCCTAGGGATAAGCCAGATTTTCAAATTTACATTCTAAGATTTCTAGTTGTAATAAAATATTCAATACCCTCTAGCTACTGGCTAAAGAGGGTATATTGAGTTGATTAATTTTGTGTGCAATTTTCAAAAATTCTTGTCCTTGCTTTATGTTGTAAATAAATACTATAAAAAACTAAAAACCAGCATACCCCGTTTGAACCCATTTTACAGGGTATACACTTCGCGTCCCCACATGGCGACAGTTGCCAAGTTGTGTTGCATGTTGCAAGCATAGGAAGCAACTAATGAAACCATAATCACAACTGTTAGATAAAAATGAAGAAGCAGACAGGAGAGAAAGAGAGAGAGGGAGAGAGAGGCAAGCAAAAGCCATTTCAATGAAGAACTGGGAGATGACCATGGAGGACATGCAATAGTTGTTTGTCTAAGCAGCTGAGATTATGGATAAGAAATGAGATTCAGATAAACTCTTAGATTATGAATCCGAATTTAGGTAACATTTAACATTGAAATACCTCGCATGAGCTGCACCATATAAGATATAATCGCATTTCAGCATTTAATCAACACACAAATCGAATTCATTGATAAGCCTTGGTTTAATGTGTTTTCTGTTTCACAGCTTTTGCCATCAATTAAATATGATGGGACATGACGTACGATACTAATCTTCATCTTCGTCGCCCTGAAAAGACGAGATGCTATTATTGGGACTGGGCACATCTATATATAGATCCACGCTGTCAATATCGATCAAGTCCAGCTCGGTGTAGATGAGCTCATCTGTGATGTTTCTGATGGGATCCTAAGGGAGAATCAATGTCTGATGAATGGGCATAAAGGAAGAATACGTGGAGGGTAGTTGGTATTGGTAGAGAAGGGCAAGGAGTTTAGAGAGCGAAAAACTCGACGTTTTATAGGTTATATAGCACTTGATGGAAGGAGACCTAAGATAAATGTTGATGGATAAAGAGAAAAGCAGCTTACAGCTCTAGCATATTTCCAGCATGAGATGGCATTCATATTGTTGTTCATCTGAAGATTGAGCAGCGCCAGGAAGCCCCAGACATCGGGAACATGTTCACCAAATTTGGTGCAATTGATAAAACACTCCATGGACTTGGAGTAATCCTCCAGTTTATAGTAGGCCTTGCCCATTAGATAGGAGGTGACCAGTGGCATCAGCTTGCCCACTTTGGGCATATTCAGTGCATTGATCGTTAGCTGATAGTCGCCCGACTCAAAGGCGATGTAGGCCAGGTGCAGTTTGCTGAGCATGAAATTATCCCGGGGCAAAATATGTTCGTCTGTCAGAGTCTCCGCATAGAACTCGGCAGCGAGCTCGAAATTACCGCGATAATACTCCACATTGCCATTGACCTGGGCATTAAACTTGGCCTGCAAAGAATTGAAATTGAATTGAAATCAATAAATGTCGCTAAACAACTGTTAGTCAGGCGCACCAGCTGATCCTCCTGGTCCTCGGTGCTCTCGAATGTGAATGTCTTCGTTTCGAAGTCGTCTGGCAGTTGATCGAGCAAGATCTTTAATTGTGTGGTTATCATATAGTTTTGCGCTTGGCTGCAGTCGCTCCGCACTTCCTCCCATATCACCTGAGCGAACTCGTACAGGCCCAGACGCACAAAGATCCTAATGCAGTCGAAAAACGTATGGCTTCGGTTGTGCTCAAATCTGGGATTCATATTTAGCGATATGCCCCAAAGGCTATACGGCGCCGGCGAACTGTGGCCTTTTACTTCCTTCACAAAGTTGTCGAGATGCCAGCTAGCGTAGGAATAACCAGGCGCATAGTTGAATCTCCTGTAGTAGCAATAGAGCAATATCCAGCCATTCTGTTCCGACTCGCGGTGCTCCGCATAGAGCGTTAGGCAATTCAATAGACACTCATTGGCATTGGCGGACACCTTCGGATCGGGATCATCTCGTGTGGCCACATAGTCCAGGTAAATGCGTATAAGCCCCCTGGACAAACACTATATATATAGACTTGATATATTTTTTATGGGTATCCTGTGGGCTTACGTACACATATGCCTCGTGCCCAATCGATGAGACGCGGTCCGCCTTGAAGTAGCGTCGAGCTGCTGCATATTCGCCACGCTCCACTTTGGACACCAAATCATAGAACTCAAACAGATTCTGAAAATGATTTGAGTTTTCCTAAAAGAAAATTCGAATTAAATGGGCGCAGTCAACACATATGGAGTATATATAATTAATACTCTGTATATAATTAATACTCTGTAATTCAATAAAAATGCTCAAGTAAATTTGATGCTTAACTGGACGCGTTGCGAATAGTTTGTCATTGAAATGGCCAGACATCCAGCCGTCCATCTTGTCATGGAACAGATTGGCCATACGAAGGTCCCCGACGGCGGTCAAAATTTTGATAGAATTCAAATGATCGATGAGACAATCCTGTTTAGCAGTTCTATCCACAATGAGCTCATCGAGGCCCTCGTCTTCGATCTTCTCCAGCAGATTGTGTATGCGTTGCTCCAGCTCATTGTGCGCGATGACGCATAGATTCTGCAGAATGTTTTGTGTTTTTAACTGCATATGATTAAAGTATATTTAGACTAACTGAAAACTCGACATTCGTGGTGGTGCGCACGCGCATATTGAAGTCACTGCCAACGACTTTCAGCAATATGTTGGTCAAGTTCTGCACGGCGCAACAGAAGTGACTCCGTTTCTGCTGCACGTTGAATATCCGCTTTTCGACTATATAGCAGATAGTGTCCCGCATGAATGTATCGAAATGTGTGTACGCCGTCCGTTGTATATCGGCCAATGGCAATGAGTCCACTACGGTTATTTTATTCTTGCAGAAGAGCAAACGATTTTGGCTAATGAAACTCTCGCGGAAACCCTTCAGCTCCTCGTACACCAGTCCCAGAGGCGCCAATAGGCATAAATTGATTATAGCAAAAGTCGAGGTTTCATTGGTTATCTGATTATTAAATCGAGTATCTCGATTACGCACACTTGATATGCTTGGCTGCTTGGACTTGGCTTGGTTCATCTTTTTTTTTACGCCCAAGTATTTCAGCTCCACGGCAAAGCGCATTCCGTGTACTGAAAGAAAATTGTGGCTCAATGTGAAATGTGAAATTGTGTGTATCTACAAAGAGTTTATAAGTGTTAAGAAGATCGTCGATAATTATCGATATTAAGTAAGTGTGAATTGTTATCGGTAAATTTTGATACATTTACACTCGTATAACTATTTTCACTTTTTTGACCTATGAGATGTACTTCAAGCACTTGACATATGTATCGATATTTATCGATAATTATATATATTTGTCATCTCATTAGATAAAAATATTGAATCTTTGTATAGAAAGCAACTACAGAAAGTATTCTTTTTTTTATTAAATAGCAATCGGTAATTGTCGACAATAAGCAAGTTAGAATATTATCGAATATTATTATAAAAAACTTAATCAATATTTACAAATCATAATTTTTTTTAAATCTTTTAAAATGTGAAAGATCTTCAGGTATATGTGTATATGTATAAAAACTTCAAGTATGTGCATCGATATTTATCGATTATTATATATATTAAGAATGTGAAAGCTATCATTTGCTCCGTTACTTACTATTGGGATAGAGTAGAATGGCTGGATCCAGTGTCCCTGAGAATACTTTTTTATTGATCAATGCCTTGACCCCACGTTTGCCTTCCGTTGGGGTCATACTGAAGACATCGACAGCGATAATATATCGCCGCCGGGCGATCGCCGCGTACAGTATATCCGACATATTCTTGGTGAGTATAAAACGATGGAATGTATTGCAGACCAGAGCCTGATCCTCGATAATATTGACCGCATCGAAATCAATGTTAGTATTGTCCGATCGCATTAGGTTGTGAAATAGCTTATGCATTTCCACGTCCATGTTGGATTTGAGTCCAATGCAGTTGCTATTGGGCACACTTTGGCGAAAGTATTCGAAGACATGATGATTTACCTGTTCAGCGATGCAACATTCTTTGAATGTATTAAAGCTACACCAGGGTATCACGTGATATTCGTTGCGATCCACCGGTTGCATGGAACGAAAGCTCAACTGTACATTCATAGTCTCCGTATCAATGACGTAATCTTCCTTCACATTATAGATCGACTCAAATGTCACGAAGGCCATGTTGGTGAAGGAGACTTCCTTGACAATGGGCACAAGGGTATACAGGTGCCACTCAGTTTTTACTGTGTGACGCCATTTAGTTGGGCAATCGGGCACTGGATAGAGATAGAGTTCTTCGTGCAGCATACAACGATGATGGCCGAATACCTTAATTATATCCAGATAACCCACACACATTAAGATCATCTCGACTTTAGGCTGATAATAAGTATTTTCGTCGTCTTCCTTGGGACTCGCATCGATTTTTTCTATTAGCAAATTCAATAAGTCGGATGTCTCCGCTTCCAGTTCAGCCTCCTCATCATCGTAGATAGTCGGTTCATCGGTTTGGCGCATATAAAGCTTGATCAATAATGGATTGTCGGCTGCATGATTGATCCGATCTAGATTGTCCTGCTGGAATACCAATGTATATGTGGGCTTTAGAAAGAACTCATCCTGTGCTATGACTCCTTCGGTATTATATTGTTCGACACATTTGAGAATAAGACTGCCGCCTTGATCCAAATGTATTTCCAATGGATCAATTATATTGGGCAGTGTATGCACGCCGGCCAGCTGTATATATAGAAATATATTGGGTGGCAGTGGCTTATCACTAGCGGGAGGTGCTTCCTTAAGGGAAGTCTTTTTGTTTTTCTTTGGTGGCATTTTTTTGGAATTATAACAGACATAAATTTTTTTTTTCAATTTTACGTTAAAATCAATGATGTGCAATTTCAAAATATCGAATTTCTTATTTAGCGCAAGTTGGCAGGCTGGCGTGCATAAAAATAATCGTTCTTATCGATGTTATCGTTATTCGGTTAATGTAGCCCTGGGCTGGGCAGCCAACACGTGAAACGCAATGGACAACAAAATATTATGCAAGCATCGAACATTTTTGTGTGAAAATTAAACAAATTTCGTGATTAAACGTTGCAATTGTCTGGCAAAAATGTATCGTCTGCTGAGCGCCAATGGTGCGACAGCCATGCAACGAGTACTGCGGCTGCCTGCCTCAACAGGCGGCTGCGGCTGCAGCTGCAGGGGTGGCAGCGAAAGCAGCGCTGCGCATAATTTAACACAATATCAGCAATATTATCAAATGCTCTATCGCCCGGCAAGTGAGTAGCTGCAATAACAAGCAATAAACAGCGAAATATTAATGAAAATATATCTGGTAGCAATAACAACAACTGTCGTACGCCTACAATCGACCACGCCCACACAAACAGATGCCCTAGCGCTGGCGAAAAAGAAACGTTTGCGCAAACCGCGTTACGCCAAATATGTGGAGCTGCTAGAGGGTAGGCATCATGAATCTTTCAAATTATGACATCATGCATTATATATTTGCCCAACAGTCACCGAACTCACAGCCAATGAGCGTAAGTCACGCGTTAAGCGTTTAAAATCGAAGAAACTAGCCGAATTCATATATAAAACCCAATTGCAAATCTTGGATAAACGCGAACGAGACGACCGGCGCGCTCAAAAGAAGGTTAAAGCGGGCAGCGAAGAGGCCGTACTGCGACAGCCGGCAGAGTATCAAAAGATCGACTTGGATGCAGCCGCTAGCTCCATACTTGAAGCGGGTCTCTACGATGATAAGCCACTGATATTCTTTGGCAAGGAGACGTACACCAAACAGATCATATCCAATCCATCGGAAGTGCATAAGATTATTAAAAGCTTTCAGAATTATCGCGACATCATTGAGGGCATGGAGAACGATGGACAGGAGCACGTCGAGGCAGACTTAGCGAGCTTTGGGTAAGCTATTTCCCAGATTTCAACTAAAGCAATTACTAACTTTAATTGTATTCAGTTTAAATGTGCCCAAGCACGTGTCTGCAAACATGGAACTGTTGGATCCCTTTGAGGCAATTGAACCCTACATTGAGGAATCCCCTAAGTCAGTTGCCCCAGCCGACAGCCACCTCAAGACTAATGCCGTTATAGCCAAATCTAAGAAACGGTTTGTCCCTTAACAAAATAGCTAATCTTCATATATTCAATCTATCAATGTTGCCGTTTTCACCAACAGCTTCAAGTCCAAGGTGCACATCTCAGAGGAGCAGGAGCGTCAGGCCAAGCAACGTGCGCTTATCATTAACTTAACTACATATCTGAATGTTTGCGTCTCGGCAAACATGCTAAACCGTGCCCTCTCTACAATCATCGCTTATCGCAGTCGCGCCAAGAAGAGTAATCTAACCAAACCCGGCACGAACCTAATCACCATTGATCTGTACAATATTTTGTTACATGGTTATGCGGGCAGGGGTTCCTTCGAGCGCTGTCAGGAGCTATTTAAACTGATTCAGGAGGATGGCCTTCCGTTTAGCGAACAAACGTATGCGGCCATCTTTGAGTGCCTGGGTCGAGTTGAGCCAAATGCACAAAATCAAGAGTTTATTGAGCAATACATAGAGCAGGCAGAGCAGCAGGGTTTTAGCCTTAATCAAATAATGGATCGCTCCAAATTTATATCGGATCAGCGTGACATAGCGCTGGACGCCATAAGGAGAGTGCGTCCAAAGTTTACACCTGTTTATATGCCGCCCCAGCTGGGATACGATAATGAGCTGCTCAATGATCTCAATGCGCAGGTGCAGCCCGTAGGCGCAGAGGCTGCATCTGAAGCACCGGAGGACTCTATCATCATGCGGTCAAAGCGTGGTTACAGTAAAACTCAACTGGAGCAACTGGCACGCGAACAACTGCAAATTGAATTGGACGGTTGTATAACTATCAAATCTATTGAAAAAACCAAGGAGTTTGCTAATGCTGAATATTGCGTAAGTTATATATATATTGATTATTATTGAAAGCAAATAAATTTTTAATTTTGATTTCTGCAGCGTACTAAGTTGAAAGAGTTGGAGCAGAACTGGCGCAAACAAATCTCTACAGCTATTATGCGTGATCTGAACACGTTGCGTGCTCAAGTGCGTTTCAAGCCGCACGGCTACATGAACTACTATACGTACCTTAAGGTCCTCGACACACATCACTATGCGGACATACTCATTAAAGAGTTGTACAAGCTGGCCGAGGGATCCGAAACTTTTAGTCCTACGGTGGGTCAACTGTTCAAGGAACTTGGTCAGAAGGTGCAGCAATGCTATCAAATCGAATTGAAGAAACATAATGGAACGCTTGAAAAGATTGGAGAGATTTATAGCGACTATTGCGATCTGTGGGCTAGCGGATATACGGAGGATAATACGCGACAAATGTGGCAACGTTTGGTGCACGCACAGCGACACAGCGGACCGTCTATGGATTTGCCCGAGGTACCATGGCCTAACAATGTGCTCTCCGGCGTGGGTCGTTTCCTCTACAACATACTTATGCGCGACATTAAGATCGATGCGCATATCATGCGCCAGAGGAGCAACAAATCGAAGACAAGTGCGACGACAATGCAACAGAATTTACTGCCGGCTTTCTATACGCTGTTCCGCAATCAGGGTCGGCTCGTCAAGGAGGAAGTGAAGCCGCATCCAGTACTGTCACGTCTATTGCGCGCCTCGCGCCAACAGACGCTCACCTTTGACTCGAATCTGGTGCCCATGTTGTGTCCACCACAACCGTGGAGTACGCCGCATAATGGTGGTTACTTGTTGAACAAATCGGAGTTGATACGTCTGCCCCATCAGGCTGTGCAACAGTGGGAACGCATACATGCCTCCAATCCCCAGCATCTTTATCCAGCGCTCGATTCACTCAATCAGTTGGCCAGCGTACCGTGGCGTGTCAATACACAGCTACTCGATGTGATCATTAAGGTATTCCAGAATGGTGGAGATGCCAAGCTGGATGTGCCTCAGCCACCGAGCTCATTGCCGCCTCTGCCTACACTGCCAGTGGGCGAGGATGGAAGTGGCGTTTCGCCAGCGGACCGTGCCAAACAGTTTCGGGAAAAGCTTGGTCATCGACGCAAGCAGGCCGAAATGTACAGCTTGTGGTGTGATGCTCTCTATCGCTTGTCGCTGGCACAGCATGTAAATAGCTTCTATTTGTCTAAATTCATTAAATTTCTAATTAATATATTTTTATAGTACCGCGACAAGGTGTTCTGGCTGCCACACAACATGGACTTTCGTGGACGTGTTTATCCTGTGCCCCCACATCTAAATCATTTGGGTTCAGATCTGGCACGTTCGATGCTTATCTTTGATCAAGCTCAGCCGCTGGGCGTGGATGGTTTTAGCTGGCTAAAGCTGCACTGCATCAATTTGACGGGCCTTAAAAAGCGTGATTCAGTGCGCGAGCGTCTGCTTTACGCTGAGGAAATAATGCCAGACATTTTGGACTCAGCCGATAATCCACTCACGGGTCGCATGTGGTGGTCCAAGTCGGATGAGCCATGGCAAACACTCGCCTGTTGCATGGAAATTGCCAACGTACAACGTTCTCCCGATCCTGCCGCCTATATGAGTCGCTTTCCCATACATCAGGATGGCTCCTGTAATGGGCTGCAGCATTACGCAGCGCTGGGTCGTGATCAGGCGGGTGCATGCAGTGTTAATCTGGCCCCCTCGGCGATACCACAGGATGTGTACAGTGCAGTGGCAGCTCTCGTAGAGCGCACTCGGAAAGCAGATGCGGAAACCGGATTGCATGTTGCGCAAGCTCTGGAGGGCTTCGTGCGACGCAAGGTCATCAAGCAGACGGTGATGACCACCGTTTACGGCGTAACACGCTATGGTGCACGGCTGCAGATAGCGCGTCAGCTGAAGGACATCGATGACTTTCCCAAGGATTGGGTGTGGCCCGCCTCCACATATTTGACCACTAAGACCTTTGAAAGTCTGCGCGAAATGTTCACCTCAACGCGTGAGATTCAAGACTGGTTCACGGAGTGCGCGCGACTGATAGCTGGTGTTTGTAGTAAAAATGTTGAGTGGGTCACACCACTGGGTCTGCCTGTCGTACAGCCCTACAATCGTCAGGAGATGAAGCATCCTGAGAGCAAAGGGCTGCGCGTGAATGCCAACATGTCGATGGATATGTTCGAACGACCCAATATTCTTAAACAAAAGAACGCCTTTCCGCCTAATTTCATTCACTCGCTGGACTCGTCGCACATGATGCTCACCTCACTGCATTGCGAGCGAAAAGGTATTACTTTTGTCTCCGTGCACGATTGTTTTTGGACCCACGCTTGCACTGTTCCGGAATTGAATCGCGCCTGCCGTCAACAATTTGTCGCGCTCCACTCGCAGCCAATACTTGAACAGCTTTCGGAGTTCATGAAGCACACCTACAGTTTCAGCAGCGCGTAAGTAATCTTAAATTCTGGACCAAAAGCAATATTATATGTAATTCCTTGCAGTGACTTGACAAACGATGGCTCTGTGGAGGATTTGTCTAAGCGTCAACTGAATCGTATTCTTCGTCAACTGCCACAGAAAGGGGACTTCGATCTACGTAATGTTTTGGACTCGGTCTACTTTTTCAGCTAGTTCGTCGAACTATGACAATGGTGCCTAATTACTATTAATTTAGTCATTTACTTTAAGTCTAAGTTTTGCTAGATGTGTCCAACAATTCGAAAGCTTTTAATACCAAAAGAAAAAATTACTTAAAAACAAAGACCAGTCAGTGCAGTAAATGTGATTTTGTAAGAGTTTACAGACAAAACATATATCTAATATTATATTATATTAAATGCCTATTTATGTATTTACGACAATTGGTTTTGAATTAAGGTATATTTCTAATTGAAAAGTTGGAAAATAATTGAGGCTTGAAAATAAAACGCGCCTGCAGGCTTATCAATAAACTGTTATACAATATTTAAAACAATTAATTTAGTTATTTTAAATATTTTTACTTCGTTAATTAGTTAACTAGTAAAGGTGTAAATCACACGAAATTGCTATCAAAGTATTCTTGTCACTGCATATGAAGTGCTCAACTGTTAACTCAACTGTTAACTACGCTCATTTAACAGCGCTGTTAACTAACGCCACTTTCGCTCATTTGTGACACACTCTCTCACTCTCACTCAACATTTTGAGTGCCACCCCATGGCCACTTTTCCTTTTCTATTTTGCACGGGGCTGCTGCTGCTGCTACTAACTGTTGTTGTTGCGTTCGCTGCTGCCGGCGACCGGCGCTGCGTCGGCATTTTCTTCGTTGCCTCGTGTCGCTCGTATGCGAATCGCTGCCTGCTGTTCGCTGCTTGCTGCTGGCTGCTCTGCTCTGCTTTGCTCTGCTCTGCTCTGGTCTGGTCGGTGGTCTCAGTTTGAAAAGTTCATGCGGCGCGTTAAGAACGTAACGGTTTCCACGCAGCGGTCAGCGGTCAGCAACTAGCGTTAATTCGCAATTTAAATAGTGTTAACATTCAGCAAACGCATCTTAATTGTTATTTGCATTTTGGCGTCTCTGTTTTCGTGTTTTCTTTCACATTTTATAAGTTTATAATCAATTTTTGTTTTTGTTCGTTCTTCGTGCGAAGGCATGCGGCAGTCGCTGCTGTTGTTGCTGAGTGGACGCGACATTAAGAAGGTAAAAAAATATATAAAAAAATAAAATAAAAAAAACCAGCTGCTAAACTTTTTTATCGCATATCTCACAGGCACGCGTTGCCCGGCCTCAGCTGCTATTGCTGCTGCGGCTGCGGCTGCTTTAGCACTGACAAAGTGCAGTGCAAATAAATTTTAGCAAATTCGAAATTCGAAAATAACAGCGAAAAAATGCAAAACTGAAAATAAAAAGCGAAAGAAAAACACAATTGTTTATTTTTCCTTTATATTCTGTTTGCACTGCATTTTGTTGTATCTTTGGCATTGTCGCGCTTTAGTTTAGCTTCTGCGTGCTTGGGCATTTATTGTGCACAATTTGCGCTCATAAATGCATTAAAAGAATTGTAAATTGTATATTCTTATCAGCGACTTGCTGCTATCAAAAGCTTCGTATCATACGCCGCGTATCATATTACAATTAATTCAATTATAAACCATGCGCCATGCAAATTGCGCTACAGCAGCCAAGCCAAGTTCGCAGTAGCCGCAACAGAAGTATCTAAATGTCTCCCAAGTGTGCGGCTCACTGATTGTGTGTATGTGTAAGCGTGTGTGTGTGGGGGTGTTTAGGGTTGGGGGAGTTTGATAAAAACCACATGCACCTCACACAATGTGTTGGTAATTGGGGCAATGTCTGTCGTCGTTTATCTGCAACGAGTCGTGCAACAGACGCAGTTTGTCCCCATCTCTTTCTCTCCCTCCCTCTCTCTTGCTCTCGCTGTCTCTTTCTGTTTGATAAGTAACCACACTTTAATGCATTGACATTTGATTGAATGCTCAAATTGTTTTATTGACGCTTTTTGGCAACTGATTCAATTACCATGACGCACAATCCGGCGTATACGTTATATGTGTATTTGGTTTGTGCGTCTGGGAAGAGTTTACTTCTGAGCGGGCCTAACTGCTATTAGAGACGGCTTTTGTTTATTTATTCTATTTGTAAGTTTTCTATTTTTAAGTCATTTGGAGTTTGTTAAATGAAACACTCAAAATAAACAATTTAAAGCATGTTTTGTTGGCGTTGCTACTGCAAAAGGGACAGCCATAAAGATTAGCTCAAGGTGACGCTGTGCGGCTTAGAAGGATTACCTTATCTAAATAATGTAATAAATACGAAAGTACACTGAAAACAATTAATTTGATATTACTTGCATACTTGACTTAAGCTTATAGGGTATATTGGTTTTGAGGAACGTGCCATAAAGCTGACATAACAGAGGCCAGAAATTTCGCTAATATTATATATATATTCGTATATCTGATAGATATACCTAGGCCTATTGTGGGTGTGGCAAATCAAATAAGCACTTAATTTAATCTTGAGGCTCTCTAAAGATCGACAAAATTATATTATTATTTTATAAATATTTAGAGGAGCAAGAATTCAAGCAAATTCTACCTATTTTTTTAATTTGACGAATGAAACTTTGTGATAATCTTTTTCATATATAAATAAATATATAAAATATAAGTATATAAATTCCGTAAACATAAAAAGAGAAAATAATATAAATATTCATATATTTATATAAACATCTCTTTTTGAATGACCAATCCATTTTCTATTCAAATCATCAAGAATCGAATACTTTCTCTAGTTCCGCCCAATATTTTATAACACATAAAATTGAAACCGGAAACCTACTTTTTTTTATCGCTTTTCTACAATTTTGACGAAGCATCATAATGTCGCAATTGAGAATAAATTGCGTAGCATTAAAGGCCTAATATAAAAGCTATAAAACTGAATGTCAAGATTAAGAGAAAATCCCCGTGGACAAGAGCAGAACGTAGTCGAGCCAAATATGCAAAAGAAATTTTTCTGTTTTTGAAAGGTTGACGCAGTCTGTGATAAGTCCTCATTATAAAGATTAATGCTCGAATTGCCTGACGAAATTATGAAGCGTTCCTACCGGAGTCAGACTCCGTTTTTGTTCCGATTTGATATGCTGAGAAATTGCATTGATTTTGATTTTATTCTCCATTTTCTTTCGACTGTTTCTTCATTTGGACATTTTTTTTGGATTTTCCGACGTAATTTATGAATGCGAATTAATGAGCCTTTAGCATGCTGAAAGGCATTTTGTTTAGGGCCTGGGATGCGGGCTAGCACTTGGCTTTTGGCACTTGAACTTGGCCGTGACAAGCGGCCAGCACTTTGTTTGGCTAAATTGCGACGGGCCCACGGCGACGTTGTCCGCTTTGGGTGCCATTATTGTGTCCGTTTCCGTTCACAGATTTCCGGTGATTATTCCTTCAGTCAATGTCCACTTGATGTGCCGTCGTTGACTTATTGAATTAGAACCAAAATGATCCTGGACAGGCACGCGCAGCGCTTAATTAGAGGCAGGTAGGCAACCAGCCAGGCAGCCAGCTGCTCCACTTACCCTAATTGAAATTCATTTTGGGCCACATATACTGCACTCAATCAAGCGGGTTGCGGAGCGGGCGCGGTTGTCATAGCCGAAAGTCAAAAATTTCAACTGACATGAAGCTATTTATGAAATTTGCCGCCGTTATTGCTGCCATGTATCGATTCAAGTTGCGACACAGTGCCAAATACTGCGGGCAGCGGGTCGAGTTTCAGGAGAAAGGGCAGGCCTATCAAACAATGCGCCATATGAAGCACACACTCGCACACACATACACACACACTCAGGGAGAGAGATAAATTCGTGTGGGTAGACTAGGTATTGAAAACCCAAAAAAACCCGTACCCAAAGCATATACAGCAGAAGCGACTCTAATGCAAAGCCACATAGTAAAGTCAAACTAGCGGAAATTGTTGAAAATAAATAATAATGGCCATGTAATAAACTGATCGACAGAGTAATGCCCTGGAAAACTGCTTTAAATTGTCCTGGTCCAGGGTCAATTTATTTGGGCAGTTAGAAAAGAGCAAATCCAGTGTAAATGTCCAACCATAAATAATCGTCAACTATAGGTTGATCGACTATGAAATACCCTGGTAAACAGTTCAAAATAATAATATTTTCATTTTGGGATCTTTTAGAAATGTGAAGGCCGTTTATTTACTGGAACATTCGAATTTGTTAAGTAGTTGACTGATTGACTTTGAAATGCCCTGGCACTTTTTTAATCAGTTGGATAGCTTATGGATCTACAACTGCTAGAATATTGACTGGATGCCGTCCTCTTTTTATTCGGTTCTCAATGTTCACTTTATTGACTATTTAAGTAGTCAGCATGATGTATGAACATATAAGCTGATCGGAACACTTACAAATGAATAATAGCATAGACACTAGAAAGTATTAGAAAAAAGCCGACACAAATTTGAAAGCTGTTCGCCATGTTGAGGTCATATGCCTGTATTACGTATATAAATTATGTTACAGAATTCGCATGGCAATAATATCTTATCTCAATCAATCTATTGATTTTTATTGTTTTTAAATTTGATTCATTTCGATATGGGCAATCAAATGCAAATCACTACATAACAGCCCAAGAAAAAAATTGTAAATTAAATATTATTTTTCATATAAATACATTCTGTTTAATATTAATATTTTTAATATTTTATTTTTAAAATAAAATAAATTGTAATAGATTTTTTTTATTAAAATAAGCTCATAGTTTATACATTTTTTAAAAAAACATTTAAGTTTTAAAATAGAAATTCTAAGTATCATATGCAGAAATTAAAGTATATATTTTTTAACTATTTTAATTTTCATATAAATAAATTGATGTAAATATATTTTATTTTTAATATATTTATATTTTTTATATTTTATTCAATTTTATTTTTATTTTCAATATTATTTTTAATTTATCATCACAATTTTTAGATAATATAGAATTTTTAGTTTTATAGAATTTGAAAATTCAAATTAAATTACTCGTAAACACTTTCATTCCCATCAACTCCGCACACCCTGCCACTTCATTCCCACCACAGGGTATATAATAAATAAGTTTGCAAACAAACGGAAATACAAAAACAAAAACAACACACAAATACAAAAGAGAGTCAAACGTAAAGAATTGTTACAAGTTGAACGCGCTGGCTGAGCATTAATAGGTTTTTGACTTGCTATAAAAACGTTCGCCCCTCGCAGTCCGCGGCCCCGCTTGGAGCCGACCCTCCTTGCCAGAGACAGAGCATGTCAGAACAAGCGCGAAAAGCTTGGGAAACTACC